TCTTGGTAACTTCTTTAGAGGAAGTGTTGGAAACTTCTTTAGATGAAGTCTTGGAAACTTCTTTAGAAGCCCTGGGTGGTGTATTCTCAAGATTCTCAGTGGATGACGGACCTTCTTTTACCATAGCTCGAATATCTGGAAGCTTGTTATCAACACCAGAATGTCTATTCAAATCATCAGACGGTTTGGTCTGGTCTGAAGAAACTTTCTCTTTACTAGAAGCTATACCCTGTGCTGGCTTGAATTGATTCATCAGTTTGTTGAACCTTGCAGATCGGCGAGTCCTTCTTTTTTCTGCATCCGGTTTCCTATCAATATCCTCGGTTGATTCCGCTTTCTTTGTCTTATCATGTGATACCGTAACTCCCACAGGGGGTTCAACTGAAGTATGATCATTATCATTCTGCACAGGTTCTTCTGAAGCAGGTTCAACACTAATTTCTTCAGGTACCTCTGAAGCAGGTTCAACACTAATTTCTTCAGGTACCTCTGAAGCAGGTTCAACACTAATTTCTTCAGGTACCTCTGGAGCAGGTTCAACACTAATTTCTTCAGGTTCCTCTGGAGCAGATTCGACACCATCTTCCTCAGCACTCTCTCCACCCTTTAATTACTGTGATTATCTAAGACGCATCACAGGGTTTCCAGAGCTTCTTCTGAAGAATCAGCAGATGTGGGGTTTCAGATTTCACTTGCACCGGTTCACTGGGTTTTTTCTGAGTAATGACTTCAGGAATCAGTGAAATTCTATCAGGATCGTTTGCTTTTGCTAGCTGAGCTTTCCTTCTCTTTTGTTCACGAATCTTCTCTTTTATCAAGTCCCCCAGCTTGAAGGGTTTCTTGGGTTGCTGATTAGCCTTTGACTGGACACTAAGTGAAGGTTGTTGAGAAGATAGTAGCACTTTTTTGGCAGACTCCATCTTAGCTTTGATTCTCACACACCCTTTTTCAGTATTGTTTATCAATAGCAGGTCTTCTGGCACATCCCGTGATTTGTTACCATTTATCGAGTTCTCTGACATCCTTGAAGCATTCACTAGGTTGGCTGATGCATCTGGGTTGAAAAGGTTCCTTCCCGTCTTTTTTATGTATTTTTCTGATGGACTCTGCACTTCCTTCTTAATTCCAACCACCTCCTGAGAATTGTCTACAAATTCCTTTGACGGGACTGGAGAGTTCACTATCTTAATGGTTGTTGTTCTCTCAGTATATGATATCTCGTTATCCTCGGTCTCTATTTCCATGATGAACCATACTGGTGTGTACCGAGATGTCGTTTTGTGACAGACCCCCACTGTGCCCCAGATTTTGACTTAATGAAGTAGACTTGGTAACTGTCTGAGACACAACAATGGTGCTTATTGTTGTTGCTTCTTTTAATCTGAAATCACTCAGTAAGTTCTTTCTCAAAGCTGCATTGACATCATTTGAAACTTGCGGACGCTTATAAGTAACACTTCTTGAAGCTGTGAGTAAGGGGCAGCAACATAATGTGAGTTTTAAAGAACATTGCCGGTCCTTGGTTGGATAGTGAGAGATGTAAACCTCGACCAGTGTGGGGTGTTTTAAAGCTCTTAAGAAAACCAGGGGTCATCAGATTACCAATGACAGTCTCTTGTAGCACAGAGTCTACGACCGCGTGATTGCTGCTTTCTCTTTTTTCTTAACCATTCTTGCGTATTGAACCTCAGCTATAAATTGTGCATCAGCTCCACTCAAAACTTCGATTTCGTTTTTGAAATCGGTCACAAAAAGCACAATGAATTTAGTTAAATCACTCTGTAACGGTGACTTCAACCTTCTTAGCTTTTGACGAAGTTGGATATGATAGGAGTGCAATTTTCCACGAAAACCCTTTTCACAATGGTTGATATTAATTTTGTTTGTGCCTCAATCATTCCAATATTACTGTCATCATCATCGAAGTCATGACAAGCTCTAGATTTCAATGAAGATAATTTCAATGATGGACAGCAAAGTATCCAAAGACTATCGTGAAGGAGTGGTATAAGTTTCTCGTCTATAGGATCATCATTCTCTGCCACGAACAGAGTTAGGATCTCCTTGCAGATACGAGTAGTAAGCTCTAATTTCTGCTGATCTCCAAGGTTTTGCAACATTGCTGTATAGATTTTTCTCCGTTTGGCCTGATTCTCTTTACCTGGCAACGAAAAATGAAGAAGGTTTGGTTCAGTTGTGGTAAGGAAACTAAAAAGTTCATTAGCAAAGAACACCACCTCAATGAAGAAGTCAAAATAGGTTTTAGGGTACCTGACAAGCAGGATATTAGAGAGGCACAGCTCGCACAACTGTCTTATCTCAGAGTTCTCACAAACCAAGTTTGAAATGAACTTCATGACAATCCCACTTCTCCATTTCAAATAATCTTCTTGAAGCAGCTTAGTCAAGACAATGATAGCCTGACGACGCACAACCATCGACCCATCCTGAAGACAATCAGTTACACAGTACAGATACTCAGCAATGATAGTTGGGTATCTTACGATCAGGTCGCCCAACACAATCAAAATATTGTTCCTGATTTCAAAGTTTTTATCATCCTCCAGCACTTTTGAGAAGAGCATGACTGAATCTTTTGCAACATCTTCATGAACGAGACACATCTTGCCCAGAGCGATAATGGAATGCCCCCGAACAGATGTTGAGAACGAGCTCTCCTCACTCCCAATAATCAGCTCCTTTACAGACAAAATGACGCTACTGTCAATCACTTTCGTATAATGCATTGTTACTTCTCCCAGAGTGAATAAGTAGCAACACAACTTCATTGAGGAGATAACGTCGTGAGAAGTTTGTGTTAAACATAGATTCTGGAGGACAACACCGATGTCTCTAATGGTCTCCTCGCATAACGTGATCATTTGTTGTTTGTCACTTCGATGTATGAGGTTAGCGACAGTTGCTACTAACTCCTTGATAACAATGTATGGGTGAATGAATTTCTTCAGTTCCAGCCTTAATTTCTCAACAATCTCATCGATATCAGTGACCCTCTTCAGGTTTCTCAAACATGTAAATGACATGCACATGGTTTGGTAACTATCATCTGATCTTGTTAACAAACATCTCTCAAATATGTCAACCAACTGACAACTGTCGATCTCCTTAAATTTGTCCACCATTTTGGAAACTACAAGTAAAATGGTGTGAGTGGACTGTGGATCTTCTAACTTCTCTAACAGGTAACTCCTGCAGTCTGCTGACATTTTGAAGTCTTTCAGGTTGTAGATTCCAAAATCAAAGTATGTTTGCAGGTCGAGGGACTTTGGATTAGAAATTAGCTGTAAGATTTCCCAGGCATGTTCGCAGGAGTGAAGCTTATTCAGTAACCTCTCCAGCTGCAGGCTACAATAATCCTTCACAGAGTTCTCATTGTCATTCGTTGCGGGTAGGACAGTTTCCAGCCACAGTCTCTGTACAACTGGGTCAGACTCGAACTCTGAAAGCAACTGACCAACACTCATGAGAGCTTGTTTTCTGACCGATACTGCTGTGTCCAAACAAAAACGATAAATGATTTTCAACCAGGAGCTTCTAATTTTGATTTTTAGAAGCATCATCAGTAGCAAGCTACATGATGCTTTCCTGACTGATGATTTTTCGTCGGAGCTCAAAGACTGCACAACATGCAGAATATTTTCAGAATTGCTCGGCTCAAAGTAGGGCAACAGAGATTTCTGAGAGGTTGTTGGGGCATTCTTCAAGAGATCACTCAGCACCATTGCATATTTAGCCCTGACTGTCGGGGCTTTATCACAGAGACCTAATATAATGGTCTGGTACAACACTTTCAACACAGATGGATCTTCGGCGTCAGTAACAAAATCGTTGAATGAAAGTTGGAAGCACATTTCAGCTCCAAATATCCTGTGGACAACCTTTTGAGACATGCACAGCTGAGTTACAATCCAATCAACAAACTCAAAGAAGCAGTTGTTGGGTAGTACTGCGACCAGCTTCAAGATATACGCCTCGACCTGTCTTCTGGCTTCAGTTCTGTCTGATATGGATGAACAGAGAGTGTGGATTAGGTTCAGGTGGTGAGCTATAACACGCTTGTTTTCCGAGCTTTTTGATGTGAAATCACATATCAGGCCGGAACAACGGTCACTGACATACGATTTACCTGCTAATAGGTACGCTGAAGCTTCTTTGATGAAGAACTTAAAATCTTTAGGCTTTGACAAGATAACAGAAAAAAGTTGATTGAAGTCGCTGTTGTCTGCTTTTTTGTGGGAACAATTGATATTGACGGAAGCAAGAAACGATTTGACCAGTATCCAATATGACTGGTCTGGTAAAGTCAAGTCTGATTCAATGATTTCTGATAGGCTATCATAAACTGCAAGAATACCTTCAAAACTTGAGGAGTCGTTCTGAACTTTGAGTAACTCCATTACCTTACCAAAGAGCATGTTATGAAACACATTTCTTGCTGACGCCCCCTCCAAGGTTGAGAGATACAGATAGCAACCCCCACCTAATAAACCAGTCAGTGGCGAACCTTCTCCTTTTATACAAGATTCCAAGACAACATTTGTGACACACTGAATTCTGCTCACATCTGATAAGATTAAGTTATCCCAGATTCTGTTTCTTTTCTTTCGGATGTATTTCAGTAGGTCTCGAAACGGCTCTTCTAGTCCGATTAATGTGTTGTCGTAAGTCCAAGACTCTGGGAAGTTTTCAGAACAAAAGTCATCTTTCAGCATGTTGTGGCACCATTCTTCTGTGAGGCTGCTCAGCCCGAGACTAGCTTTTAATTCATCCATTTACAAACATCAGATCATAAAATCCTGAAAATATTTGGTCAAAAATAGTTCAGAAACTGAATTCATAGTTTTGGTTATAAATAGTTTTTTTCGAGAATTAGAAATATCTGTTTTAAGCAGAATTTTAAACGATTTTTAAAGCTTAGTTGATGTTGCTGTGCAAAAATTGATCGCAGAAATTATTGATTAAAAGCAGTAAGTTGAGAGACATTCTGTTTGAAATAAATTAAATGAGTTAAAACTGACAGAAAGTTAGCTTTCAAAAATAAAAAGTCCGGTCGCAGGCTTCACTGATCTCAGAGAAGCTGATTTAAAACTGGTTGAGGATATAATCGGTCATTTCAAACACTCTTCCCAAAACAATTTGATAAAAACTAAATCATCGGATATCAGTTCTCGTTGGCGTCCTCAATAACTTCATCGCCAAAGTCGTCGTCAGCAGCATCCATAGAAGTGCCAGATTCTGAGAGAACTGTAAAAGCTCCATCGCTCCAGTGAGACATTAATTCGATGTTGAATTCTGCCATGGAATTCCCGAGATGTTTCTGAAACAGGAAATCTCCATAAGTTTACTAACATAAATATAAATAACTGGATCATCATAATTTCTTAAGCTTAAGTTGTAAATCTCAAATCTTTTGTAGGAGACAAACATTTGAAGTTATTTATTACATACCAAGATAACAGCTTCCTGAGTAGAAAGAGCTTGTCCAGCAGTACAAACAGTATGTTCTTGATTCAACACTATCACACCTGAGTAGAAAAATACCAATAATATTTGATATTCACTATACTTCCATAGGCAATGTTAAGGTATCTGCTAGGTGTCTCATATCATTAGAAAACTTTGAACTAATTTACATGACGTGTAGATTATTCATATTCCTGTCGATAAGGGCAAAATTATGAGTGAAAGGAGGCATACTAACAAAACAAGAATTTCGCCGCGGTAACACCACGCACGATCAAATTTCCCTACTGCATACAATTTAATTGTTCTACTTTATTGTATCCCAGAGTGGTGTTTGGCGCATGTACAATGTAATAAACGTTTATATTATATTGGGCGTGCAGAACTTGAAAAATCCTGCGCGCATCTGAGGTGTCGCCGTCGATCTGTATGTGGTTTGGTTGTAAATCATTTCATACTTTGCGCGGTTTTGTTTCGTGTTAACAATAACGATATGCGTATCATGTCACGTCATATTACTGCATCGTATGCCAACTTATTGACTGTAATAAAATATGCTGTCTCGTCTTAGTTATTATTTGTATCCAACATAAACTAATACATTTTGATTTTTACTCGACACATCACAGCACCATCGACTTTCGAGCCTTTTATTTGATATAGGATTCTTTAAAAGCATACCACAATATTGATATTATAGTTGCTTCTTGAATGTAACTGTGAAGTAACATTTGGTCTCAACTATGTATTCCAATGCTTTCTACCATTCAGTGTCGATTAACTGTTAAATAATCAGCCCACAGCCACGAGTTTATCAGCTGACATCATAATTTTATTTGTTTTGACTTGCTGAATTTTATCACTCGGTAATTTATTGAGCTTGTTTCACACAAATAACACCTATATTGATGATTGATCCGTTTGTAACAGTCGTCAAGCACCAAAAACTGGTTGCTATGCCTGTAATTAATTAACTCATAACCAGCATCGTGCGCGCAAAATAGACTCCTTTTATACACATAATTATAGGGGAGTGGTCTATATTGCGAAGGAGCAGACTTTTGTCGACACCGTAGGACCGTCGGGCCACCTCATATATCCAAACCCGATTACTTATTCCCTACGATCTTTTTGCCTTCGGCAAGAGTAGGGAAAAAAATGTTAAGTGAACTTACCATCTTTTAATTTGGTGGGAAGACCAAGCTGTCTGAGATGTGGTTCCATAGAATGAGGTAAATCAAGTGGTCCCTCAGGCAGGACTACAGTTTCTGTGGCAACACTTCCACTACGAGCAAAACAGAGTTTCTTGTGAGATTTGAAATATTCTTTTACTTCTTCCACCTTTTCGTTCGTAAACAGCAGTCCACGTTTTCCATGTAGCCCCTTTGAAATCTTGTGGAGATCTTTCTTGTACTCTGATTCCATAGTACGTCCGATACTAAGAGCCATCACTTTGTTTCTGCCTAAAAATATCCTGGAAAGAATAAATATTATACAAAATGCAAATATTTTAATACATGTTTGATTTAACGAAAGTTGCATTGGGCTACATAATCAGCTAATTGATATTGATTGATTGATTGAAATAAATTTTCGTGCACATACAGAATGAATGGTTAATAATTTAATATATATGTAGACCAAGGTCTGTGCACAGGATGCTTCCTGGAAGAATCCAGTTCTTTTAGCGGGGCACCCTACCTAAAGCCAAATTGAGATATAATAATCATATTCCTAGAGAAATAATCAGAAATCGAATACCAATCAAATAATATGATATATAGGAGTAGTAACCATATTTACTATGCAAAATGCCCCAACCACATAGTGTAAATTTATATAGAATTCAAATTCCATATCATCATTAAACCTCAATAGTCAATATAATAGCCCAAGCAAAATTAAATAACTTCTCATATACCTTACTGTCATACTACAAATTAATTAAACATTTGAAATCTGTTAACCAGAGAATAAATTTCTAAACCTAATGCAAGTGAAATAATTTAGATGCAATAAAGAATGCCTAATGTGAGTATCATCTGTCAATGTCCTTGTAAAAAAGTCTGTAAAAGAGATATGAGTAACTAATATAGAAGAAAAAACAGGAAGTTGTCGTCTGTTGAAAAATAAATAGTAAAATATCTAGAATATAAATTAGAATAAAATAACATTCAGTCAATGTGTCGTCAATAAACTGTACAATTATCAAATGTTAAAACTGGGTGATACAGTCACCAAAAATAAATACTAAGTATAATAAGTAAATAAATTAAATGTGGTCTATAAAACTACCACTAGGTATAATAGGTCAATAAATTAAATATTGAAGCTTCAAACGATTCATCATTCACCGTAAACATATTTTGTCAGAAGCTAGGTCTGATCGAATGTGTATGTAAATTGTTTACATATAAAATACCTGCTATGTTTCCAAGATTCTCTGATTTCCTTGAGAAGATTATTTCTCTCATTATGAACTTCAATGAGATACAAATGGGCATACTTGTCGCAGCATTCCTGGATTGCTGATACTAAATCTTTCTTCGTTTCGTAGGACTTCTTTTTGGTAACCGTCAATGGCACTGAAGCAAACAAAAGTTACAATTAATTTTCAGCTCTTAGGAAGTCAGAGCTTCACATAGATTATTTTGTTTTCAATCTTCTTGAAAATGGACAGATCTAAAGATATAAATTAAGTTACAGATGTGTCAAACAAAATAACGAAGTGCAAGGAAGTGTTTTTTAACTGGATAACTCACCAATTTTATCACGCTTTGATTTAGGCATTTTATCTCCAAGTTGCGACCCTAAAATTAGATGATTGAGTTGGTGTGTGTTTGAAAATATTCAGATAATGTGTACGAGAGTCAAACATGACTATTTCAAATTAAATTGACAACAAAAAAACGAAAACTAAATTTTGGTTTATAAATGGAACCCTAATCACCCCCTGGACGTGAGTAATAAATAAATAAATAAATAAATAAAGTCAATTTTTACAGCACAGCAATATATATCTAAATATCAGATCCTCTGTAATCATAATGTATAAAAAAAGGAGCTGAGTAGGTATTCACTATTCAGGATCAGGTATTCATGCACATTTTGAAAATTTTGCAACACTTGCCGCTACTTGTAGGTGTGGTCAGCATGACAATCACACCTGTAATATTCCCACACCTAGTATGCATCTTGTAGAGAATCCTTGTGGGTATCTATGCAGTATAAAGCTATATAAATGAACAGCTTAACTGCAACACAGCTCACTCTACCTCCTCAAAAGATTAAAACTATTTTAAAACTAAACGTGTGAGAATACCTGATTCACGATTTAATTAACTAGAAATAAGCTTGATGATTAAATAATCGGAAATTATCATTTTGTCCCAAATAACTTCTACGCTCAAAAGAGGACTATAAAAGTATTTACATTTGGAAGAAAGGAGAGCTTTCAAGAAGCTCTGGGAGGAACTGAAAGAAAAGAGGAAAGCAGAGTCTAACAGAGTTCATTTCATAAGAAACAATAAGATTGTCAGCTCTGATAAGGACAGTGTATCAGCCTGACAGCCTTGCCTGACGAAATTTGAACTGTTTCATATTCTTTGCCACACATCTATTTTTTCACACGTTTGGTTCTGGATTGGACACTCAAAACAACAATAGAGGAGTGGTCTACACGCTCACAGGCTACCACGTCTTGTGTAACCTCAGCTTCAGGACTCTAACACCCTCACAGGCTTCCACGTCTTGTGTAACCCCAGGATTTAATTCGTTCACAGGCTACCATGTCTTGTGTAATTGTAATTCGAGATATATAAACATAAAAGCGATGACCAGATACAAGTTTCCACTTTGACACCCAGGCAACTGTGTATCAACTGTTTGACGATTCCGTTAAACTGGTTTAGAAGTAACACCCACCAGGAACACTGCATACTCCTACGAGTTGCACGTAGCAGGCCATGACCTCCCCTGGAAGTCCTTGTCTCTCCGTCTTTAACTTGACGGGGTTGCACGAGGGGTGGTGATAACAGAGCTTCAAGACTCTCAGAGTCTGTTGTCGATATCTATGATTAATATGAATATGGTATATACCTTGGGAGTCTCTCCAGCAGCAGGAGTTGGAGACATAGGGACGCATTGTAAAAGCTACCGAAAGGAACGCAGACCAATCAGAAGAAGAATGGGGCCATGTAATTGCGGGCACATTTTACTGTGCTGTACTGTGCAGTGTCTGGTCTCCCGTCAGATTTTACAGACGGGGACAATAATTTATTTGAGTTTATTTGATACGTAAGAATCGCTGTACTCTGTAAAGGTTGAAAAACTTATTAAAAAAGTTCTGGAAGCCAAACACTTTCATGCATTTGCGAGGAGGCATGAAAACTCTTTATACAGTCTCAAATAGAAAACATTATGTGCTTTGTCCAAAAGATGGTATGTGACAATTCATCAACCTCTATATCTAAAATACAACAATCAATCTGGAAGCAATGATTTGTATATCTTTAAAAGAATCTAAGTTGTTCCAAAATGATGTCTTATAAGTTATATGCATTGTTGATTGTAAATGCAAGTGTCATGGATTCGCTAAAATATCATCTGGAGATTTATATTGGAGGGTAGGTGATGTTCTTCATTAGTATGATAAAGAGAAACAGACCATACCATGGATAAATTCTAACTATTTATATTTTAGTGTCATTCCAGGTCATGAGCATGCAGACAATAATTCTCGAAACTAACACTATTAATGCTAAGTACCAAACAACAAGTGGGAGGTGGATCGTTGGTATACCGTTAAATCGATTTAACACCGCAATTCCAGTCGCAAGCCTGGGACCACTACTAGCATTGTCACAACATCTACAAAGCTGCCATATAGCCTGACTGACAATTTTCTCGACTGACTGACAATGTTTCTTCTTTTCCCCATTTAGAATACAAAGATTAGTACATTTTAGCTTATGATTAATATTATATTTTTACTTATAGTTTACCTAGATTGTGAACGATATCGCAAATACAATGTATTTATAATGCTGTGCAGCTAATTGATATCAGGTCGGAATTCACTGAATAGTAAAGGATTAAACATTGTACAAAGCGGCTGGTACAGAATTATTTGAAATAATGTAAGGAGTAACGCTCGATTCTTAAAACTGCATTCTATGGCCGGCACATCAAATTTGATACGTTCTATGACTTTCTTGATTCCGCACTATTATATCAACTTTACTGTATACTGACAGAGTTACCAATCAAAATTGAACATGGAATTGTTTAACAATAAGATAATTTTTTGTTAATAACTGTTTATGGCATGGAGCGGTCACACATGACGGCATCAGCCGAGGGGGAGGAGGTTTGGAAATACTGACGCGTCATGAAGGTTGCTGACAGGGCCGGGAGGGGTCTTGCTTACGTTTGATTGATGATGTCACGCTTTCCAGATCGTTGCTTTTCGAATTAACAAAGCAAAGATTTCTTTTTACTTCGATATATAATAGCTTCAATCAATTTTATTTAGCGAAATTTTATTAACAATAAAGTTTCGCTAATTTCCTTAATATTATTATTATATAATTATAACTTCGGTGAACTGAACTTTGTTGACCAACTAGCCATGAACTGTTTCAATTACCAGTCACAATTTTTTTCACTCATTTTTCTACTTACACCCCCGTCACAGTCAGCATTCAAATACTCTCTTAATGGTTATAGCGCGATGTACTACTGGGCCGCGCATCAAATAATGTTTCTCGATCTCGCAACCAAATCGGTAGATTTTAGGATAATAGTTGTTTAATTTGTAGTTTTACCAAAGATACCGAAATATTGTATCACGTCGTGACCCCCATCGTCGTTTCACTATAGTGGAAACCCCTGTAGAGTTTCTATGATACAGGGGAGCCGCGCACTCGTGCGCGGCGGGTCATACAACGTATAACAACTAAAATATAAATGCAATTGAGGATTCATTTGATCCAGTTTCATTTATTGAATAACATCAAGCGTATTACATAAACGACGTTTATGTAATACGCTTGATGTTATTCTACAATTTGTAAGTTATGTAAAGAAAAATGTCATTTTTTAATTGGAAGAATTATTAATTATGACATTGCTTGAATTGTAATTTGTTACACGTTTTTGATGTGTCGTATGTTCAATGTTTATAATATTATTTTCATACGTTGTATGACCCGCCGCGCACGAGTGCATGGCTCCCTTTGTATTGTAAGAACTATAAAGTTTCACCACATAGTGAAACGACCGTGGGGGTCACGACGTGATACAATTGACAATAGCATTACATAATGAGTGTGGAGCGCAAACTTTCACAATTCGAAATATTCCAGAAATACGGGTATCTGTAGCGTGCACGTTTGACGGATGTTACTCGTCTAAATTTCTTCGAAGTAGCGCGCGCCGATTGCAAGAGCTACGAAGTAGCGCGCGCCGGGCCAAATCATTAACAATGGTTACTGCGCACGTACGTTTATTCTTGTGGCCAATAATACGGCCCGTTACATAACACTTTATGAAGCATTGACTGTGATTTCTACAACTACTAAATCATAAATCATCCATTCATAAGTTAAAATTGTATTTTACTTAAACTTTAATTGTGTCTTGGTGTTCACTTAATATAATTATAAACGGTATTTGCATTTGACAATTAAACTGTGGTGTTTAGCGTCTGCAGCTAAATTGGACTCCTCAGCTCCATGATATTAGTAAATGTGTATGACCTTAAATATTAAACATAATCTTGACTTTGCGACATCGTAGCGTGGCTGACACAAAAACAAAAATGTTGGCCTGGCTTTTGCGTAACCTTCCTAGTAAATAACCCACGTGCTCCGATAAAAGCCGTTTTGAGAAACCTCGCAAAATGTTCACTGTAGTTAACGGGCACAACGAAGCACTATTAGTAACGGTGTCCTTTACCTTACCTGGGGACCCCATGCTATTATATTTATGTTCATAAACATGAATTGAGATTTAATATGTTTTAAACAATTCAGTAAGTTAGCTCTTGATGTACGCTGTAGTTCGGAAATTTAAACCAAACTCTTTCAATTAACATGCATCAGCCCAGAGGCGGCTATTGAGGGCATCCAGGTGTCTGTGGACGCCTTAAAATTATTATCTGGTGGCCCTTGCTTGTAAATAGAAATAGTAATTTGTTACTTAAATTTTGTTTTACTTAATAGTATTCGGAAATATCTAATCGCAATATAAAGTTCTTTATTCTACTCAAACGTTCGAATGTAAGCGCACGCATGATCTTTGTGAAATCGTGTTGTATAGGGTGTCTAATCCTTGATTGGACAACTCAGCCGTACAGTTTTAACACACAGTTAATTGCAAACGGGTACAGAGCACATCATCGCATCAACATACTGTTAATCTATATGATCAGGTTGTCCAGGACACCCTGCAATTTGAACTATCGACTACTACGTGCTATCAGTATCATACTGCGCGGCTGAGATCGTACACGTGTGGTGTCCTATTTCACTACTTTTATAAGTTTCCGTTTATGTTTGCTGTCACCTGTGACACATTACATACATGACGCCCAGTGTGTAACTGTAATGTGCGTTAGAATAATTAAATTAATTAAATGATTTTCTGCTGTGGTATTGTATGCAGTCATCGGCGAATAGCCATCGGTAGTTGGGGAGGTGGGCCGCCCACAAGCCCCCCGAGTCTGTTGAAGGGACACCCAACACAACTGCCAGCCAGCTCCCATGAGCCGCCTCTGCATCAGCCGCGCTGAACCATGTTGCAAAGTATAAATTGTGTCTTATAATTAATTT